TAATTACCTGCTTTGTAAAATGAGTTCCTTCAAAGTAAGCCACTTCCACTCTGCAAAATGCACAATCATGTGTTAGGAGAATTTTCACATTGTTTTCCAAATTAGAAGTGGAACGCAAGCATTTACAATAACACATATTTTTAAATACTACATTTTAGAAACATGACTAATAGTCTACAGCTTTCTGTTAGTATTACAGTGTAACAGAGCCACAAACATGGCTGTAGTCTTACTAGGCTAGTTGTTTCCCCATACTTCCATTCTTTATGCTAAGCTACCTAACCACATGCTGGCTTTAGTTCATATTATTTATGAAATGTATCATTCTGCCTAGTTCTCAGAAAGAAGTGGATTTTGAGTATTTCCCAAAAATGTTGAACTATTCCTTCAGCCATGAGACATGAGAAGAGTTTAACAAAACATCCAGCAGGTGGTGCTATACACTGAAATGGAAATTAAGGAGCTTTTATTGCACAATTTAGTTGTTGAAGCGTGATATCTTATTGTGAAGGACAACTAGGGTCCCGGATGCCGCCGTTGCCAAGCAACGGTTGCTGAGCAGCGGGACTCCTTAAATTTCAGCTAGGCTCGTGGCTATCATGTGTGACATCAGTGTAAGTCAGTCAGGAACTTCTCATAGCTCAAGATCATTGACCACAATAAATTAATAAATCAACGATAAATCAACAATGATGGAGACATTCTCAGCCAAGATGAAAAAGGTGTTTACACGACGACAGAGGAGTCCAGTTTCACCCACAGTTACAATCCTATCAACGGACGACTATCCAAGCTTTATGCGTTTCCACCGAAGACATCTTGACCCTGAGTTGATAGTGTTCCCAGGCACTCATCACATTATGGTCTCATCAGACAGCCTGACTGAGACAGAAAGTATTCCATTTCCCGAGGAAATAATGAGGAAAAAGTTTAGTGACATCACTGATCCTCTCTTTGGTGACATGTCAGACTCTGATTTTGAGAGTTTGCTGTTTTCCACTGCCCTGGATGATGATGTTCTTCTGCAAGTTATTAAAGAACTGCAAGAGAAAGCCAAGGAAACAGACGCAAGAGGATGCAAACTAAAGAGCCTTAGTACAGAGGACTTCGCCAAAACATGTCTGTGTCGCTTACTGGGTCAGCTGGAGACCAAATTTAAGCAGTCCAAAAGAGACATCAGCGTAACTGATTTACGTGACCTGTTTGTAGAATTAGAAAACTACCTCGACAAAAACTGTACAATTCTATAAAACGTTTGTGTTTTTACATTAGATACAAAAAATAATACTTCATTTACTGATCCTTCATTCTGAGGACAGAAGGACAAAACAACGTTGCATATTCATTCTTCAAACTCTGTGACCTTTTGCTGGTGTGTAATGATGCAAATTATTATAATAATAATAATCATACTATACGGTATGAGACACAGAATGTTCATTAACTTATAGCTGTGGTCAGAACAGCAGCCATAAACAGACGAGTTTTGCCAAATGTTAATGCGTTTTGACACATTATTTTTGAATGCCAGGTCAGAAGATGAAAAAACGCCTTTCCTCAAAGTCGGGAAACAAACGGACATCTTGGAAAAGTCATAAAGCTTCACGTTAAGTCTTCAAATAGTTCTAAAAACAAGGATGAGAGATATTTGAAATACACATGAACATTAGTCATCTACCTTCGTTCAACACACCATCCAGAAAGGTTTTCAAGAAACTTTAGAAACACTGAACACTAGAGCTAATGACTTATTAAGATGACTTTTTTATTTATTTTTTATTTTTTAAATCAGTTGGAAAAGATTTTCAAACCCACAGGACACTCATCCCGGTGCCCTGAACTGTAGTGTGTTGTTTTTTTCAGACATGCTCACTATACGCAGCCTATTAAATACAAAACAAAACTCTCAATGTCACACCTGTCAGCTAATACAATGAGAATCCACTGGAGAGACTCGACACAGAGGAGACAATCGCTCCGGACGAGCTCTGAAACAAAGACAACGGACATCAAAAGCAAAAGGAAATTCAACATCAGCTTATTCATTAACAGGACTGTATACTGTAGAAGTGCTTACATGTGACTTCAAAGAGACCAAAGCCTTCATAGAGTGGACAGAGGATGGACATGTAGTGCTGTGATCAGGCACCTCTGCTGATCACAGATAGCATTTGGATCGGACTCTTTGATGTTACACTGGCAGTGACCCCACCTATGAGAAGCAGTTTGAAGATCGGTTCAAGATGACAAGACAAGACATCCAAACAGGAGCTCTGATTGTTCCCAGTGTGAATCTATCAGACTCGGCTGTGTATTTCTGCGCTGCCAGTACACAGTGATGTGGTTTAATGTCAGCCCCTCACTAAAAACCCTGCTCTCTTTCTTTCTCTGTTGTTTTCATGTTCATGATCCTGAAACTGAAAGTTGACTCAGTAGCTCTCGTTATGCAGAAGAAGAGCAAATTTGCATAATAATACAAAACAAACAGAACTAAGCAATACTTATAAACTAAGCAAATAAGCAAACTTAAACATATATGTAAACAGGCATAAGTAAGACAACAAACTATGACCTGTATAGGCCGATACAGGTCACTTGTAATACACCTGCATTGCAAAAATGTATGCATGAAATAAGTACTGCGTGGATACAATGTCCACCTATGACAGAAGGGTTTATGTATACAGCCAGCTGAGACTTGAGTTCTGACAATGAAAGGCTTGGCTACTATTTACATATTGCAGTGTGTGTTAAATTATAACATTAATTTATAGAGCGATCTAATATTTTCGTATTGCAGTGCTATTTATTTATTATTAATATGGACACAAACAACTATTTTGTCACCTTTCAGAACAAAGTAACAGCAACCCCAAAACAACTGCCTTAGAAATAGCCATGAAGTTGAATAAACACCTCACTTCTTTCAACAACCAATTCAGCCCAAAACACTTCGACACTCACACAGGAGCTTTCATATTGTCACCAAACCATCACCACTCAAACCAAATAAAAATGATGTTCAGCAAATCCACAATCATTGTCAATTCTAATACAAATGTTGCACATAGGTCGACGTCAGCTTTGCCACGTGTTAGTTAAACCAAGACTACAAACACAGTAAACAAAGTAGAAACATCAACTCACATGTCAGTGACTTCTGTCATCTTTGACGGGAGTAACGTCTGTGAGGAGAACTGACTCACACAAACTGTAGTAAATGTTTGTGGCGTCTCTTTGGAGGTTTAATATCCATCCATTTTCCTCCGCTTATCCGGGGTCGGGTCGCGGTGGCAACAGGCCAAGCAGGCTGACCCAGACTTCCCTCTCACCGGCAACATGTTCCAGCTCATTCTGGGGGATCCCGAGGCGTTCCCAGGCCAGCTGGGAGATGTAATCCCTCCAGCGTGTTCTGGGTCTGTATGGATTAATACAAACAGGTTACTAAATGTCAGGCTTTATCATAAGCATTTCAGTTAGAATTCATTCTGTGGGGCTTTGATAAGAAAATATACGATACATTCTAGTACACTCACATTTGTTTTTGTCTGTGTTTGCAACTGACTACCATTTTCATTATTGACTCACATTCTTTTTTTTCCAATCAATCAATTATTCATTTTGTTGATGTTAAAGATAAGTGAAAATCTGCAATCATCAATCTCCAGAGCAAAGCAAATCTATTCAAACCAAACGTATTGAAGTTACGCAGATAAAAAATGAAAGATGAAAACAGCAGAAAGTCCTCACAGTGAATGTGTGGCTTAGAAGAACACTCTTTGGATCAACCTATTAATAAAATAAGAAATACATTCTCAGGAGGAAGTTGCCATAAAATAATCACAATCTCCTCCATGTCTCCTCCCCTCTGAGTTGATCCCATAGCATCTGTTCAGTCTGTCAGTCGCTGCAGAGACAGAGGACGATAAAGACGTCATGATCAGAAACACCAACAGGATCGCTCTGCTGCTTCTCTGCCTCTCCTGTAGGTTTCAGCTCAAACCGTTTGCCAAATGTAAAATCTTTTGTTACCATTTCTGTGTTCTCACAGCTTTTCTCTTTACATGCAGGTCGTTCACTGAGCACTGAAGTTCATCAGGCTCCATCATCAATATTAGGGAGTCCTCATGTTCCAGCAACAATCAGCTGCAGCCATTCAGTCAGTTCATACAATGTGATATTGTGGTACCAGCAGCCGATGGGTGACACTAACCTGACACTCATTGGATACCTTCTGTATACGAACCCAACCATTGAGGATCAATTCAAACAACATTTCAATATGTCTGGAGACGGCTCAGCAAAATCTGAACTTAAGCAAACTGGCAGATGAGACAACTTTATTCTTAAAAAATGATTGAGAGGATTAAAAAAGTAGAAAATAAATGTAATCTTTGGTTACAAAGAGGTCTGTCCCTGGAGAGTGTCCTCGTATCGACAGCTGAAGGCATCTAGATTTGTTTAAGGTGATGTTTGTTTAGTGGGGTGACTTTGTTAAGAATATTCCTTGGATAAAAATTTGGTCATTGCCCAAATATTACGTATTAGGAATAAGATTAGAGAGGTTTCCTTTAAGATTATACGAAAGTTTTATCCTGCAAAGCATTTTCTCAAGAAATGTAAAATGATTTAGGTATAAATTATTATATTTTTCCCTGTTCAAGGTTTTCTTTAGGGGGAGTTTTTCCTGTCTCTTGAGGCAAATTTCTGTAATTAGGCTATATAAATAAAATGAATTTACATGAATCAAATGGTTTAAATCTTTAGAATTTTTGTTGTTGCTTTTCTGCCATGTTTGGTGGTATTTTGTATCTTTTGTATTCATTTTGAATCTTAATCTGATATTTAACTCCTCTAAATTCAATCTGTGATGTCTACAGATGATAAACAAAACAGTCCAGTGAATTAATAAAACAACCTAGATGATTGAGTATTATAACCTTTATGTCGTGGTCCAGTGGCCATCATTTCAGGATTAAAAACAGAAACCTCTCACAAGATTCTGTCTGCATGCGGAATGAGTATTTTATTTATAACCAGTTTATAAAAATAAAATACAAAATAATTTTAAAACAAAAAAGAAAAAAGAAACACTGTACAAGGCATTGATATGATACAAATGATAGAATAAACATAAATAATTACAGTTATATACAATGAAAAACTCCCACGTGTTACATTCTTTCCTTGAGACTGTAGTTACATTTCTAAACCATGACAAACATTACAACACAAAATATCAACCATTAAAAAATTCTGACAATTGAAGTCAAAATGATGGATGGCCAAATTAGCAACTGTCACAATAAATAATCTTTGTCAAGTATTTAGAAGTTACTAACAAGTAATCTGATGTTATGCCATTAGTTTCCTTCTCACCTTTCAAAATAAAATAAAAACAGCTGGGTTTGTTCTGTTGGCCTTTGCGTATCTGTAACCACAAATACCCGGCAAGCTACTATAAATATGACACTTGTCTATGAGCAGGCCACTTTCAAACGTGACAAAGAAAATCTCATCTGGATGGTAACAATAGTACTACAACTTCACACCACTTATGTGCAATAATTATTTAAAAAACCTGGAAATCTGATTATCTTTTAGACCCAGCAGCACAGTTTAGCGTCTGTTCCTCCCTTCCACTGAAGCCCGTTAGCGTATAAGTTATGGTTTTACAATAACTATTGTATTTAAATAATTACTTCATATTTTACAGGTATATATTAAAAGTCTGCGCAACAGCGCTCCGAACTTTGAAAGCTTGCAAATATCTGGAAATAGTGAGTTAAAAGAGGGACTGATTGCTGGCGACGTGTAGAAATTGCCCGCCCCTTGTTTGAGGGCATACAGTTTTCCATTTCCATCTCCAAATTTTCCATTTCCAGCTCGTCGTTCGATAAATGGCCTCCGCTCATTCTCACAGCAAAGAACAGGGAGCTCTCCGGTAGAAGCACAGCTGTGTAAGCACAAGAGTCCGACAGCACTGGTTTCACTGGTGATATATTGACCACGCCGATACCGGCATGGTAGCACATGCCCATTCACACACACACACACACACACACACACACACACACACACACACACGGTAGAGAGATAAGTGACAGGAAGTCTTGGCCGAATAGTGGAATGATGTCCAACACAGACAAGGCTCAGTCATCCCTCGCTATGCACAGAGGGGCAGAGAGGAGACATTAAGGCGACTGACTGACTGAACGCTGTCTGCCTTCAGGATGAGTCATCATAGCTGCATGAAACAGCACACTTTATACATGTACAAAGCAACATGCCCATTCAAATCACTATACGCTCCCATGTTTATCACATCTCAATTCAAGCCACATCTGTAAAATCTATCAAAATATTTGGCAATGTGCAGCCATGTCTTTGTTATAACTGCTATTGTCAACCGGTGCGTTTCTCCTACAATACAAGTGCTTTAAAACACAGCGAAGACTTTTCTCCTTTTATTATTTTTCTGGTTTAATTATTTTGTGCATCATGTCAGTTAGTTGCACTGGTAAAAAATACAGTCTATCATATTCCAGCAACACAATATATCCCGGGTCAAGTGCAGGAAGCGCAGACAACTACTCGTACATCAGGTGGGAAGAGGAACAGTGAAAGAATACGGAGATGGGAAAGAGAAAATATGTAGATTTTTTTTTTTTTTTTTAAAAAGTGATGAAGTCACTGCCGGGTTAAAATCTTCACAAGATAAGACGACGTGTGAGCGGGAGGTGGTATGCAGCTTTTTTTTACTCACTAGTTGATTCTGTGTTTTCTCTGTTGTGCATGCAAATTGTAGCATTGGAAGGAAGCTGGAGGTATTATACAGTATCTTACAAGCAGAGGAGGGTGTGGAGGAGAGTTTCAGTGAGGAATCCTAACTAAATACAACACAAACAATACTCTGATTCCTTCCCCTTGTGCACAAACATACGTCATCATATGAAAGACATTCTGCGGCGCAAGGAGGAACAAAAAAAAAAAAGAAGCTAAAACATTCTTGCACATGGAAGCATGGAACATCATTTTTGATGAATATATATGTACATATGGCCTCCATTTTCAATAGCATTTGACAAAATGTTTGAGGTCTGAAATTCACATTTGTTTTTCAAAGTTTTATCTCCAACACTGACCTGGTGTGTACACACAGGACAGCAAAGACAGGTTGTACTTCAAATATTTCCTTTTTTGTCTTTACAAATAAAAGCTACTCCAGTAAACTGTGGCTCAAATTGATTTACAAACATCTGTGTTGCTACCTTTTCTACATTGAAAGAATACTGGTGAAAAGGGTCGTCTTTGAACCGCTGGCACAAGTTTTTGGCTCCTTTTTTGTTGCCTCGTTACAAACAAAGTGAATCCTCAAGCTGCCCAAAGTGCCAAGGCACACGCTGACACAAACATCTGTGTCTGAACATTACTCATCGGTAATGCACCTTGTGTTGCTTAAGCCGATACTTCTGCTACTACTGAACAACGACCACCATTCTAACCTGTAAAGCCTTCAGCCGTCGGGGCGTTTTTGATTCCCTTCTCAGCAACACAGTAGGCACAAAAAGGTGTGTGTGTCCTCACGCACTTGACATGATTGATTGTATAAAAGGGTCACTTTGGAGTCATCCCTTTGATTTTTAAATGTTTAAAAACTAATGTGAGGGACACAAAACCACACGTCCACTGTCACACCGAGGAGGGTAGGAGTCGAAAGCTAAGCATCAAAATAAATATCTCAATAAATACAACTGTACACAAACTCAGGCTTTATGCATTCACATGTAGCATAAAGTAAATAGCATACACTGCCTGCAATCTCCGAATGCAGAGGAGACAACGCAGTCAACCCCAGGCCAATATCTAATTCAGTTGTGATCAGCTACACTGATATTCCATCAGCATCATCCAAGTGCATCAATACTGGGGATAAATAAGTTACATTATACTGTGGTGCAGGATGCATGAAGATGAATAAACAGAGAACTGATTTATTTATGTGCCCACTGGCCCAACTAACTATAGATTTACATATCATAGTACTGGCTGCATTGGGTTAAAGTTTGCAGCTGTACTATTTCGCTCTCCAACATGATAATATAAATAAAATGAGGACCCTGACATGTCGATATCAATCGTCTAATAAGTTACCTTAAAGGGGCACTCCTGTTCAGCTGACTCGTCATCAAGAGTACTATTCAGCCTGTGAACGTCAGACTGTGCTCGAGACTTTTTAACAGAAAGCCTTCATTGCAAAAAGAAGAAGTCGGCACATTGAGTTGCATTATGGGAAATGTAGGGACCAACATTTTTGGAGCTTAACGGACTAAACGTGGAGATATCTCAGTTTCTGCCGCACAGATGTTGATCGTTCTTTTTCAAATCCGTCTCTCGGCTGAACAACTTTGTTGAAGTGCATTATCAAATTGCCGGAGTGCCCCTTTAAAGCTGGGCACATAAATGAATGAGCCTGTGTGCGAATAGAAGGACTGACAGGAACAGTGGGGAACAGCGGGACAAGTGTAAGGTTCGGACTGACAGCGAAAAAAGGGGAACTTATACAGGAAGGACACTGCGGTCTACCCCATCATAATAAGAGTCTTCCCATCCTCTGCTCTGGCAGCGCAACATGGAGGGCAACTATCTGCTCAGCTTGCTGGAGCACTTGCCGTCTCGGCTACAGCCTTTTCCCCGGGACAGGTGGAAGGGGCCGGTGCGAGCCTGGCGGGTGCAGCACGTCTCCTGGTGGTGGGTGTAGAAGCGGCGGGGAGGCGGAGAGCCCGAGAAGCTGGGAGGCGAGCGGCTGCGGCCGAGGCAACCCCCTCCCCCGCCGCCGCGGTGCTCGTGGCGGGAGGGCGAGGAGCTGACGGAACGCTGCAGGGAGGAGGAGCTGCGCGGGGAGGCGCTAGAGCTGCGGTGGTGATGCGGAGAGCTCGTCAGGCTGCAGACGCCCGTCCTGGAGCCCCCGTGCTGGGCTGAGGAGCGATGGTGAAGTGGCGAGCCACGGGAACCATGCATCAGCTGAGCAAGGCATGTCAGGAGGTCTGAGTCACTGTTGCTGCCCGCCCGGATGCGTAAACGCCTCAGCCTAAGTGGGCACAAAATGCAGGGCAGGTTAGGAACATCAGCCAAGTCACATGTTTCAAAGCAAACCAGGATAAAGGGTGATAAATCAAATTGAGAGTTAGAAGCTCAGCCAGCCAGTAGGCGGTTAGCTTTGCTTAGCATTAAGACTAGAAGACTCTTGTTTCATATTTAGTGTACAGACATTAGAGCAGGAGCTAGCTACTCTCACTACTGCAAGAAAGCAAATAAGTGAAAAATGTATCAAAAGAATCAATCAGCAAAGGGAATTAATGTGTAATCGGTTTTGTTACGTTCTCATAAATGTTTGAGAACAATAATGGTTTGGTGAATTATTAAAATGTTGGTTGGTGAATTATTAAAATGTTGGTTCTCAAACGCAAAAGATGAAGATCAACATATTACCTGCCCTCCGCTGTGGGGCGGCACGGTGGCTTTCCAGGCGGCGGGCGCGGCAGGAATTGGGCGGCCAGATGCTCAGCGGAGGAAGATGAGTGAACAGGACGAGGGATCCGGCTCTTGCGGGACAGAGGGCTGGAGGAGGAGGAGAGGGAAGGAGCGTCGTCTCCCTGGCGGTCAGAACGGGAGCCCATGAGAGAGTCCTCGTCCTGAGAGCGGTCCGAGGCGGAGGACAGCGGGTCCCGAGCAAGGGAGGCCACCATGGGGCCACGCCTATCGGAGAGCGACGGCGAGGCAGTGGGAGAGGGGACCGGGCCATGGTGGTTGGCTTTCTTCTGCAGGAGTTTCTCCTTCGCAGACCCCGCAGGAGGGAGCTCCAGCAGGCTGGAGGGTTCCAGGACCGGGATGCGACTTTGCCTCCGCCTGGGGTCCTTACGGAGGGCAACCGGGAAGGAGGAGGAGACTGGTCCGTTGGTCTGATCTGGGGCATGGTTCACTTCTCTACTAACCTCCCCCCTCAGCTGAGGCTCCATGGCACAGAGAGTCGAGCCAGAGTCCTTCTCAGGGTCTTTCAGCTTGGGGAATGCTCCGCTACTTAAATCCCTTTGGCTGTTAACAGGAGGGGAGAGGTGGCCATTGGCAAACACAGGGCTGTGAGGAGAGCGAGGAGAGCATGGAGAGTGTGGAGAGCGTGGAGAGGAAGGCGAGCGCAGAGGAGGCGAGTGAGGAGAGCGGGGGGAGCGTGGGGATGACGCGCGGTTCGGAGCGGGACTTTGAGCTTTGGTGCGGATGTTTCCATTGACCAGTATCTCAGCCAGGGGGTCTGTGGGTGTCCCTGGATGGGTGAGCACATGGTCCTGGGGGGAGCTGATGTCCGCTGTGTGCTCCTGGAGCTGCTGGGCTTCAGCTTCAGCCTCACCACGCCTCTCCAGCAGGAGGCACTGTGGCGCGCTGTCCGATCCTGACTGGGAGGACAGCCCAGAGGGACGCTGAGCCGTCAACTGGAGGGGAGGGGGGGAGGTGGAGACACGGTAGGGAAGAGAAAGACACACAGGTGTTATTTAAAGAATCGACCTTACTAAGAGTGGGAATAATATTCTAGCTGTCAAAGGCCTGTTGCTGATAGACTACAACATGTCGAGTTGTGCTGTAGTTCTGTAGCAAGAGCCTGATGCAGATGTGTGAAAAGAGAAGTGTTGTATAATGTGGGGTAATAAATGGTGATTAGTTTGGCAACAGCATGCAATACCATAGCTACCATTATCAGACCGAAACACACACAAGTGCTATGGCAGTGTCAGTCAAGCTGTGAGTACTAAACCAGCAAGTAGGACAGGAAAGGTTCACGCAACTTCGCAGGGGGCTTCAGCGAAGAGAGGGTGAGGAACAAATACAGGGAGAGAGAGAGAAAGAGAAAGATAGAGAGGACAAAGACGATCTGAAACAAAAGAGACCATGCAACCTGTAGTCATGACTCGACATTCCAAACACACATGCCACAATCAGACAAACACACGTCCCCTATTCAGATCACAAGGACACATGTCCAGACACAAGGACACATCTGACCCATGCTCTGTCTGGCCTGCACAATGCCCCTCATGGTTTCTGGAGAGAGCTGCCTGACAACAACACAATAAGCAAGCCAACTGAACAAAGAAGCCGAAATAAGCAACTGAAACAAAACAACAACAAAACAAAGAAAGAAAGAACAAAAAATGGTGACAGCCGGAGTATTGCTACGGACGTAGAGGAAGCTGAATGGAGGTTTTTTTTTTTAGGAGATTGTGATCGGGCTCATCACCTGCTGAAGCTGGGCGCGAGTGATGCGTATGACAGAGGGAAACTTGGCGTTGGCGGCACCCGCCGGGATGGCCGGCAGTTTCCTGCGACCGGGTGAGCGGGTGCCAGGGGCGGGGTGTTGCGGTAGCGGTAGGGAGGCGTGGCAGGAGGAGGACGAGGAGGGGCGCTCCTGCTGCTGCTGCGGGTCGACGGACTGGCTGCGCCTCATGCCCGGCGGATGGCGCAGGTGCAACGGGTCCGACAAGGTGGTCAGGAGTGTGTGAGGGCTGGGAGAGCGCAGAGGGATGGGGCTGGATGTCCGCATGGCGACCTCCTCAGGCAGGGATGGAGGAGAGGTGGGGAACTAAGAGAGAGGGGGGGAGGAGAGAAGTGGGAGGTGAGGGAGTGAGAAGATGGAGGAGGTATGGCAGAAGGGCTTTGATGCAGGACAAGCAGACGGGGAGCACGTTGTTGAGTTGTTTTGAACGGGTGAAGCGACTGGGGGGGGGTTTATAAATATAAGGGGATGATCTTAGGCCACAGAGGGAAGACAGAGGCGAGGTAGGTAGATTTTGGGAAGGCCGTATACATTATCAACTTGGAGGCAGTTGGTCTGGTTGAAGTAGAGAATGAGGGGAATGTTATTCCTCCTGTAGTGTAAACAAGCTGTTCAACTGTGTAAAGGCGGTTTATGCTGAACTTGTAGATTGAGCAGGATTTCGGTGGGCTGGCTGAAGGTTTTAAATAAAATAAAAGGAGCAAAAAAGTAATTTAAACTGAGGAAACCAAACCATATTTTGTAATCAAATTATTGAATTTGTGAAGTAAATTAAATACATTGCAAATAAGATCAAATTCTGCATGATATTTAATGCAAATCAATGTGCATTTCAAAGCCACAAGCTCTCTTCCCCCCCCATGCTGTGATCTGATAAGCTCTGCAGTTGTGACACAAATATACTTTTACTAACAATAAACACAAGCGAATAAGCCAGAAAACATCAAGCAGTAACATTTAGCTTTAAACAAGATGCAGCTGGTGGAACTCTGACTGTATAAGCATTGAGGTCCTAAAGCTAGAACTCTGACTCTGTAAAATGCTGACTACAGTCAGTATCATGTATGCCATGTTGTGAGATGGCCTTCAGGTGAAAGGGCTTACCTGAGTGAGAACTCCCTCAGCCAGAGCTGGGCTGGATGGAGTGGCGGTGGGCAGAGCCCCTGCAGGGCCCACGCTAAGCTCCAACTTGTCCACTTTTGCACTTCCCTTGGAGGAAGTCATGCTCTCTTGTTTAGCTTTGCCAGAGTGAGGGCCCGGATATCCCCTTTCCCATCCAGGAGACTGATCCCCTGGCTGGAGCACCTCTGGCTCCTCGTCCTCCTCGTCCTCGTCCTCCTCCTCCTCCTCCTCCTCGGAGGCAACCTTGGCTCCTGGAGAGCCACTGGGCCGCTCCACCATTACCCACTCCCTCGAGTCAATGTCCTGCCTCCCAGAGCTCAGATTGAGGGCCACAAAGCCCCCGCTAATGGCTGCCCCCTCTCCCTGCTCCAGAGATCCACAGGATGCTGGTTTAGGAGAACCACCGCCAGACAAGAACTCCTCATCATAGTGCCAGACCCTATCGGGACGCTCCCCGGCTGGTTCAGCTTGACCCTGAGTTACTGGAACAATTGCAGCACCGTCGGCCTCCTTCTCCTGGTGCTGGGCGCCAAGCTGCTGCTTTCCTGAGCTGGACAGACACAAGACAGATGCGAACAATCGACGCTGCTCTAACCTCAGGAACATTGAGAGGAACTGATGTTAACACAGATCGGCTACTTGATAGACATACCAGGTCTCCAGGAAGCGCTCTGGACTGGGCTTGGCCTCCAGGGTAAGCCTCCTCTCCAGGTCAAAACTGTGAATGTTGCGGAGCTTCCTCAGCAGCGGGCCATCGCGGTCTGAAGCCACCACCTCAGATTGCAGTTTGACTGGGGAACCCAGGCTGGGCCCAGCATAGGGGCTCTGGTGTCCATGGTTGCCCTGGTTGTTGCTGTGCTCCTCCTCCGTTCCCGCCTTTTGAAAGCAGTTAGTTCTGTTAGTGAGTTACTAAAAATAAAAAACTGGTATATTTCAATGAAGGTATCGCTTCTCTGAGAGCACTTGAGGTGATGAAACTATACTACCTTCCAGACTGCCGTCCGGATGCGGTTACGGTTGCGGTCCAGCTCCTCCCAGACATCCGCCTCCTGGTTGCGGTGCGGGTGGAGGGGAGAACCCGGCAGGCGCTCCGGAGCGGGGTTGTTCTCCACGTCGCTGAGCTGCTCGTCCTGCAGAACCTCGTCTGTGTTTTCCCTCTGCAGGTCGCCAGGTATCAGGGAGGCATTCGCCATACTGGGGCAACAACAAGAACATTGTTTTATGTTTGAGGCTATGAAAGACTTTTAGAGGCAAGTGTGGAACTTCAACCACAGCTGGAGTCTATACATTCCATACTTACATATAAGCTACAGAATATTTGTGGTGTTTGTTATTTCAATCAAACGTACCCCATGTGTGCCGGAGTGAGGCGGGTGTGATGCTGCGGCGTTGTGGCAACGGCAATGATTGTCAGAGTGCCATCGGTGCCGGTCCGCTCCCAGTCATAAGGGTCATTCTCCACAACGTTGTAGGTTTTCATGCTGTTGTCAAACACTGACATCAGCAGCTGTAACAAAAAACATTATACATTTTTGGTGAGGTTTTTATTCTGTGAGATTTCTACAAAAATAGGTCTTGAACACAAATCGACTTTGTAGACCTTTCTAGATCATGTACTGCACATTTTACTCAAACATCAAACTACATTAACAACAACATGCTGAAAAAAAGAATCAAAATATGAGCCCTGTGTCACCTGGTAGTCAGGCTTAGTGAAGTAGTCGAGGCTGGAGATGTGCTCCAAGAACACGCCAAACTCTGCCGGCAGGTGTTTGAGCATCAGGCGATGGTCGTAAGTATCCTTCAGCTTCCCCACATGTTCCTGGGAGCAAACACACCCACACACCTGTCACATCTGATCTCCTACAGCTGCATGGACAGGGCTGTTTAGTTTCCGTGAAGGACAACGATCATTGATTGTCCTTACTTTGTCCTTGATCTTCCTCCACGGCAGCTGACCGACCAGAAACTCCACCAGCATGTAGAAGAGAGACCACAGGTCATCGTGACGGCCCATCTCCTGCAGGATTACATCAGGGCTGAGTTAACAATCAATTATATTAAAATGGACAAATCAAGACAAAAACAAAGAGGTTGTGTAAAGCACTTCAATAGAAACCGTGTGGGACAGCATCACTGATTACACAAGCGCTGTAGAGCAGGGTGGACGGATACTGACCTTGTTCTTATGTGCATTGACGGATGCATAGCGGACCGTTCCCCTGAACCCTGCCACGGGCCGGGGCTGACAAACAAAGACAGGAACAGGCATTAAAATGCTAATATAGATGTATTTGAATTACAGATTTTCAGCCAAAGATAACATCGTAAAAGTATTTTCCATTTTAATTTAAAACATTTCAAATGGTCCCAACAGTTTCAAGTGCATTATATCAAATCCTCATATTGAATTATCGCCCAGCCCTAATTCATCAGCATCGATAAGTGCAGCTTTCAGCTCAGCACACACTCGGTAACAGAGGAGGACACTTACAGGTCGGACCTCCTGGCAGGAGTTGGTGAACTGACGAGCCAAACCAAAGTCCAGCATGTAGCAGGTCCGACAGGTGCTCGGGAAGCGGCCCATTGCGAAATTGGACTGAGGCAGTAAAAGAGGAGGCAACGGTTAAAGGAATAATAAAAATAAGTGTTCCTATGCTAGAATATAATTTAACACAGCAGCTCAGAAGACAGAGGATATTTACATTCAGCAACATAATGGGCCAGCTTACTTTGAGTGCAACAAAATACTGAATCAGCAACAACACTAGCAGCCAGTAATAAAAAAAGTGCAGGAGTCACAAACACTGCCCAGACAGAAGAAATAAAAAGTATTCTCATCTGTCGGGGAATATATACAGTTGAAGCTTGGTAATGAAATGAGAACCGAGCAGTATATATCCTCCAGCTAACCGTGACTCACCGGTTTGATGTCACGATGCAGGAAGCCAACGGAGTGGATGCTCTCTATGGCCTCCAGGATCTGGCGCCCCAGACGCAGGGTGGTGCTGATGCTGAAGGTTCCCCGGGTCATACTCCTCCTCAGGTCAGCCAGGTTACGACCCTGAGAGAGCACATGTACGAGATCGGTTAGTTCTGATAAATTCCCCTGATTCAAGAAACACAGCAGGACCTCTGTCTGTCTTCACAAACATGTCATAAAAGGAAAAACGTATTTATCTGGTTGTCGTTTGGATGCGACACCCAGTAACAAGAAAAAGAATAGAAATAGAATCACTGTTAAAGGTTTTACTGGTTGAAATGTTGCCAAATGTGTTGGACAGAAAAACGATAAATTCAGCTGGACCGATCATCTATAATTAAAGACATGGTGCGGTCGGGAGTCGGTGCAGTAAACCAAAATGTACCATTCCTGTGGGTGTGTTGGTATAAATCAAAACCAGAACACATCGAAGCCCAGATTAAGTGTTTGTGAATTTGAGATCATGACTTTAGTATCACAGCCTTGTGTGCTGGATGAAGTGGTTACAACTGATTTGATGCCTCGGTAGAGGAATCTCTATATGGAGATACCAAGTCTTCTGCATTTAGACCAACCTGAAGCTCCATCACCACGTAGTTAAAGCGGTCGTTGCGGCCGCATCCCACAAAGCGACACACGTGGTCTTTACCTGAGAAAGAGGAGAGGAGAGTTTCAGGATGCTTTTCGGGAGGAGAAGATGAGGTCACCTAACGCCAGCCGCATCATTCCATCGTAAGATGCGGTGGCATGCTGTGTGAATCATGATGACGTGCGTGCTCATATTTCCCTCTACAGCTCACTGCCCTCCTATCACCAACGTACGGCTACCCTGCTGATTTATAGGCTATCGCGCCCAACACCAGGTCTAATGTGCATGAACTTGCCTTGTGTGTTTGTGCATGTAAGTGTGTGTGTGTGTGTGTGTGTGTGTGTGTGAGTGAGCAAATGTGTGTGTGCTCTGAAAGGACATTGCTGCACTGGCAGCTGGACTGCGGCCACACCCCAAACCCTTCAGCACGCTGTGAATGCAAACCGTTTCCAACAAAACCTCCATGTTACAAACACTACTTTTTAAGAATCGCCTACTGTCGCCAAATTCCTACACAATATGCCGAAATAATCCAATTAAAAGAGACAAAATGAAAAAACAAAGAAGCTATTATTTGCTCGATATGACCCTAGACTTCTTATAAGGCCCTTGGTTGATGTTTACTCTTCACAGCTGGGCGGGGTCAGCAGTGTTTTGGGGGACTGGAGTTCAGCCCCGTCTCAAGTTACATGCTGGTTCCCTCGGGAGGCAACAAACCCATGATGCCCGAGGCCGCAGCCATTAGACAGCAAACACGATCCCTGCCCATTGATTTTCTTCTCAGGTTGAGAGAGAGAGAAAGAAGGCCATAGTGGTCAAAAGGCAGGAAGGGAGAGCGGAGGGAAAAAGACACGTTGAAAAATAGAGATATGAGTAAAACTATACAACCCCCCCCGAAGGAGCGTGTTGATCGCGTGTCTCTGTTGTGAGACGTTGGGAGTGTCCGGGCACACGAACATGTACTTCCTGTCGTACTAGCACTGCTACTGCCATCTGAAACTTTTACATTGAAAGAAAATGTGGAACGAATGATGGTGTGTTTTGCTCTGGAGAGAATGAAGCAAACTGAGCTGAACCCTGGGCCCAATTGTGCTTTCAGATGAGTCAGATAATCTGTATTATAGAGAGATTATTATACTCTTCTATCAATGCACAAAGGCTATCCCTGTACGTTCTACAAGCATGATATTTCCTGGATTGGCCTGCTTCTTTCACATTTTTGTTTTACTTCTGTATATTTGAATAATCCAGGATAAATTATTGACATAAAACATCTCCTAAGCGTCCAGTAGGTGTGCTGTTATCAAGAGGTCAACGTGGATGAGGAGTTGGAGGATCAATCAATTCCAGAAATGTAACCAAATCCACTGAATCCATTTGGACTCACCCTGGAGCTTCTTGAGCACCGCGACCTCCATCTTGAGCACCTGTTTGGGTTGCTGGGCCGACTCCACCTTCAGCGCCACGCTGACCCGCGTCAGCAGGTCCACCGCCTCGTAGATCTCCCCGAACCCGCCGCCCCCGATCTTCTTCACCTGGAGGAAGAAACACTGCATTAGAACAAATCCCATTTATGACCCGAGTGTAATGTGCATGGACAGTGAGAAGTACATTCAAAATGAACAATTTAAACCATGTGATACCATTGATTTAGGCATCTTAGTGATTATGTATGCATGCGCCGTAAAACTACCTTTTTTTGTACTTTTAACCCTTTTAGAACTTTATTTCAAGTTGTATTTGTATTGTTTAGAGTTTAAAACAAAAGCAGACAATTTAGTGAGAAGCCAGTCAAATGCAGGCAACGCAAAAAACTAAAATAAAGAAAGGGCTTGCTGTACAGAAAAAACTATAAACAATATGTTCTTCCTTATTTTAATAAATATCAAGAAGTTTTAAGTTGGTTGAGTTTGGTTTTTGGTCATTTTGCTTTAATTTGACAACTATTTTCTTTGTTATTATGAATATTTTGATCTGTTAAATGCCAGAAAAACAGAAAATTGCTCATCATCAACAGTCCAATACCCCAAAACATTCAGTTTACCATCACAAAGAAATGAAAATGCTCACATTTCAGAAGCAAAAACTAAGTATTGTGTGACATTTTAGCTTGAAAGATTACTTCAAAGATTAAATATCAAATATATAAATGATCAGAATAGTTATTTTTCTGTCTAATCAATAAATTGACTTATCGCTTCAGTTCTACCTTTCACCTGTAAACATTACTTGGTGCTGATAGCATTTGCACTGACGAAGGCCTAAAGCAGGCCAAAACCACTGCACACTTTTCTGCATGAATATGACACAAAGAACTGCATGCGATTCATTTCACAGTGCTTTCTTCCTCACTCCACTCCTTCAAATTGCCCCCCCAACAGTTCCACCTTTTCCCTGTCGCCTCTCGGTACTAGCAGAGCTTTAATTTCTCCCACGTGTCCTTCACTGTCCTCCTGTGTCGCACTAGCAGCTAAAGTCGTGGGATTAGCTGCAGCATTCTTATGTAACTCTGCTCCTCGGAAGACAGGAAGTGATGCCAGTAAGGAATAACAGCCTCACATGGCACCCAGGATGGCACAGCAGGGAGAGACACTGGGCCCTCCCGCAGCCTATAGCACACTGCACCGCCGCAAATAGCTACACGGGCTATTTTTGGATCCCCTGTTCTGCAGCAGCCCGACCTGGACGGAGAGACACAACCCCAAACTGTCCAAGCCACAGGTTAGATAGAGGGAAGGCGGGACTCATAGGCAGGGGAAAGCATTGTTGGATGAACAAAGAGTTGTTGTTTGTGGGACAGAGGGTGAACCGGGGACAGTCAGCGATGGGGCTGGACAAACACACCGGCCATTGTCGCTGTCACTTACCACTTTCCATCGTTCCTTGACCAGGGAGAGCACGCTTAGGATGTCAGCTTGCTCCACTCCCCCGCTCATCCCGTCTGTGGACCCGGGACGCTGTCCTCACTGCTTCCCCCCCCCCCACCCCTGCCCTCGAACCAGCAGCCTCAGACTGGGCCGGGCATTTGGGCCTTGATGGAGAACCCTACGGAAGCACAAGACACACAAAACTGTCAGAAATGATGGGACAAATGTCAAGGAAATCAGTGTATTTAGGCCAGGCGATCATGTTTCTTGGGGATTGAACAAGGAGGTTACATAAAGTTTTTTTTGGACATGTTAAAGTTTGAAAGTCTCCCCAGTTGAGAGACAAAGTTAAACCCTTGGCTTAATGGCTGGAGCTTTCTGATACTCGACTATCGCTGCAGCTGCCACACCTGCTGCCAGCAGCTGTCCTTCCAGACAAACTCGCCCCAACAAATCGCAGGCAAATGTCCAGCGTCTTAAATTACAAAAAGGCTTCATGTTAGTATCACTTTACACAGAAATGTGTATCTTCTGTGTCAACAACCACGGAGCTCTTATAAAGAAAGTAGTCTTGTGAGACATAATGAGACTGTTCACTGTTCATTGCCTCATTTTGCCATAGCTCTGGTTGTGTAATAAAGCATAATGATATTACTTTGAAATAAAAGATCTTATCAAATACTGTACCACAGGTTTTGTATAAATACTGTATTAAGTTTCATTAACTTGCTTCAGATTTTTGCAGCATTCAGTTTTACTTTTGTTCTGCAGAAATATGCATCACAAGAACTTGATATAATAAATGTGACTGATATGATTATTTTAGGTGAGGTTACGTTGTAAATACAAGATTTTTTTTAATTTAAAGATGTAAAAGTTGCTGTCCAGGAACACCACCTTAAATAAATCTGATGCCTAAAGATGAGTTATTACCACTTTCTGAAAAGTCTCCCGTTCTAAAAGGTTTGAAAGTTGGTCAATGCTATTGTTAACGGTAATAAATAATTTACTAATGCTTTATAGATAAGCTAAAGACAAAAACCAGATTGTGAAAAATTCCTCTCATAATAAAGTCATGAGTTACAAACATCTCCATCAGACTTGTCAATACAGTCATTGCCATGTGGTTCAGGCAGGCTGTCTGTACAGTGAAGATCAAATGGAGTTTCCCCTGCAGACGTTGTGTATGCTCCTGTATTATGCAACATCCATGTCACAGATGAGCGTTCCTCCAGAGAGAACACGCTGCTAACTTCAGTCTGGCTTCAAAACGCTCAAAGCGAACCCAGCAAACCCAACGTCGATTCATCATTCTGCACACGGCGCGCCGGCATTTATACGGTTATGTAACCAGCCTTCAAAAACACTATTTGGTTACGGGGGCCATGATCCCGACATCAAGGAGGCAATCAATCCCATCATGCATCAGGGGCGAGGTTGGGGAGATGGAGCAGGGCAAAGCGTGGTTGGACTAGATAACGGTGAAATGACGAGCATTGAAATGTGACCCGGGGTTGAGAGTCAGGAGTGAGGTGAACTCTAACACACAGATGGACGAGATGTCTCATCATTATGAATCTCTTCTGAAGGCATTTTATCACTCTGATAGTCTTTGAACTGTCCTAATGTATAGATGTGTGTGAATTACTATGAACCAATATTAAGATGTAATGTATTTATATTTTTATAAATAATAAAATATTCCCATTTTTGCGCAACTTTGTTTAAAAAAAAACAATTCACTATATGGTTAAATTCATGTTATCCTAGTGGAGTTTCAGCGAGCCTTTTAATAACCAATATAACATTAAGAGAATTAACGTTCTGTTAATGCTAATCAGCATTAACAGAACAGTTGAGGTTCTCATTAGTATTTGTAGGTATTGGCAAATAAAACAAAAGCACAATTAAGACCTGACGACACTTGATAAAAGGTCGGGGGGGGGTTGTATCGTTCATCCTCTGGAGAACATGGCTGTGTGCACCAAATCTCGGAGCAATCCAGACACCAATGTCCAAATGATTCACTCAAAATTACACGGTGGTGCTGGAGGAAATATCAGGGGGGATCATTAGGATTTATCCTCTGGGGATCATGAATCGCTGTACAAACCGACATGGAAATCCTTCAAACTGTTATCAAGACATTTCACTTTGGAGCAAAGCGGTGGAACGAAATCAAGCTTTTTTTTTCAGCAAAAACTGAACGAAACTTCTGTAAACGTCTCTTTCTGGCAACAATGTGTGTCAGTAGAGGGATTCTTGATATTATATTATCAGTGATTAACGCAGACATATGGAGCACGCCATCGAAACCACAGAGGACACATGAACCGTAGAAAACCCTTTTGACCACCGAGCGCTGAGAGACGATTCAATAACCTCTGCTGTGAGCCTGCTGTCCCAACATCAAGGTCACCCCACGTCCCGGCCTTTTCCTTCTTTTATGGACAAAAATAACAGTTCTGTCCCATCTGAGCCGTCGTACATGATGAGAACATTACTTTTAAAGATGAGTGAGTCATTTGGGAGAGACGGCTGACATTCAACCTCCAGTGTGAATGTGAGAAACACATAAGCCTCTGACATAGAAGTAGAAGAAAGGTCTCTGCTTCCTTGTTTTCGGTTAAAAGTCTGGAGAAGTCAAAACCATCTCACAGCTTTTCATCCCTCAAAAAAAGAGCAAGTGTGTCAGAATAGCAGGAGACACTACCTGCCAATCAGGCCCAAACAGAAAGCCACTTCTCCAACACACATGCACTCAAACACAAGCTTGAACACACATTGCTATGACACCTATGCACCAGCCAGGCCGCCTCACGCTGTGAATAATCTCACACCTCACAGAGAGGTTCTTCTTCCTCCTCCTCCATACGAACCACCATCAATGAATACATACAAAAAACAGCTCAGGAGGAGCAGACTTCGGACCAGAAATTAAACCAATCTGTGACAACCCCGCTCCCGTCTCATCCTGATGAATCACACTTCCTGACCCCCCGCATCTCCACACGCCGACGATGCTGCTGCAGTGCCTTTTTCTTTTGCTGACTGCAGCTTGTCGTCGCCTCTGCCCTTTTTTGTTGTCTAGCTGGAAGTTCTCACAGCTCCATAAAAGCATCATGAAATGTCAATGAGTGATTCCAAAACACACATAGCATTCCTGCTGCTTCCTGGAGATGTTTTGTGTGTAAATATTGACCAGAACGCACTGACCCTAAACGCAATGTTATGGGTGCACAGGCTCGAGTGAGAATAACTTGACTGTAAAATCAAACGTCTGCTTCATTTTCTGTCTGATCCCAGTGTGGCTCAGTAGACAGACAGGGAGACTTGTTGGGTTGCTGCTGGATGAAATAAAGTGTCTGGTCTGACAACTCTGTTTGCAGGACAAGCCCTGGAGAGGAGCCAGCACGAGGGGGAGGCCCCTCCAGCATGGATGAAACTGATCCAGTCTGAAGAATCTGTGAAGGACGAGCGTGTGTTTATCTGGCATTAATGGCTGCTTATCAAGGATGCACTCACCTCCAGAGCAACTTTAAAATCCTGTAATTTAGAAGCCATTTGTGCAAAACAAATACAGGTTTCTAAAAAGGATACAAACCTCTGGTACGTTGTTTTCAATGGGATGTGACAGGTAGCAAGCTGCAGCAATATTGTGACCAAAGCCGCCTATCCTGCCTGCAGTGGACGGGCTGGTTGGGCTTTGCTGTGGAGAGCTTGTTGCATAGCGAGTTGGTTACCACAGCAGATTTACTCAGGCGCGTCCACGCACATTGACCGTCCACACACACGCGCACACACACACACACACAGGACCACGCGACCTCTTCTTTGCCTGTGTGCCGTGTGCCGTGTGTGTGTGTGTGTGTGTGTGTGTAGGAGGTTAAGCTCTGACAACATGCAGGATAACCAAACTCCACGCACGTAGCTGCTGCACGCGACAACGAATGTTGAAGATGGGTGGGTGGGAAAGAAAGGGGGCGAAACATGGGTCGGCCTCCAGGTTTTTTTTTTTTGAATCCTTACCTCGGGTCTTTGCTGCCAATCCTTGATCCAAAAGAAGAGCCGGGTGTGGTTACACAAAATCCTCTAGGTTTGAGGGCGGCGGGGACGACGTCGAGCGGAATCCCATCGCGAGCGAACCGTGCATGAAGAAGAAGAAGATGGTGGTTTAAAAAATAAAAAGAGCGGAGGAGTGAAATATGTCCGTGTGTGGTCGTCCGTCCCTTTTTCCTCCTTCTGCCTGTCACCTCAGCATCTCTATCGGTCGCTGCGGATCCGTGACGTGACGAGTCTCTGTGATGATCATCAGCCTTTCCTTGCGCGCGCGGGCCCGATTCGTTCGCCCCTCGCAACAAGCCCCGGGAACGCGCGTACCGGGGTCTTTTTTTTTTTAAAGCTCGTTCGCAGGCGACGCGCGCGAACTGTTCACAGTCACAGATTAGTTGTTGTTTTTCACAGTTTTAACATTTTGTCGATTTATTATAGTAAATAGATAAATAAATAACACTTACAGAGCCAGCAGGGAATGTTCCCTAAAGGTTGTTGTTGTTTTTTTTATATTTAAATTTTTTTTAGAGAATTATACTTTGTTTAGAATATAATATGACACTTTTCACAAAGACCACTGGGAGGCGACATTATGTTAAAGATGCCGTTGGTAACTGATGGCGTAGTCTTCACAGGGATTTAAAAATAATAATAATAATAATTCACTTTGCAATGTGTTCAATTTCTATCCATCAGTAAATTTAAAAGTTGTTTTGTTCTTTTTTTTTTTATGCATGAACTACAAAAATAATTCAACACAGCTGTTTAAAAAACATGATTGCAAATATATGCCTATTACTTCTGGGTGTTTAACACAGTAACATATACCCAATCTCACTGCTTTCCCATTGACATTAATGAATGAAATATATTCAAGACCACAAATATGGTTTAGTAAATTATCTTTTCCATTTAGTAAAAAGCAATGGAACATAAATACAGTTTACAATTTTGACCTCAACAATCAGAATTAACACATTCAAGGAATTTGTTTGCGGTTTTCCATTGCTCTTACACAGAAATAGACATACAGTTGAAAAACAAGAACAACCAAGCTGGAAAGGGACAACATAAACATTTGTTTATATATATACGACACAAATGCGTAAACACTACGACAACAGTGCAATGGTGCAGAGTGAAAAGGGTGCTGGAATAAATATGGAATGATTAATGTCACAGGTTGCTTCAAATACATGAGGTAGGTGGATAGGTGTACTGTTCTGTGTGTATGTATATATGTATATACTATGCACCTCCTTATAAGTAAGTATATGGAAATACACTTCACAATGATAGTGCCACAGTAATGCACTGCACATTTGGCTCACAAAAGGGATATTGTGTAAATAGTAAGATGTTGGATTGAGTTTGCATTGATGAAATAAAATCATGGATAATATATGTTGTGAGGTTATGAAATGTTAAACAAAAGATAAACATTACACTATATAATTATATGTACGATATTACATTTGACTGCAATATTAAGCTCTGCTCCCAGTAGACCACACAACACTAAATACACTAAAAATCTGTGCAGTATAAATACACTGTGCAATACTACAATTATTCTGTCTGTATATATAATATTGCAATACAACAATTATTCTGTCTGTATATATAATATTTTAGTTATTGTGGATTTTTAAATTATTTAAAATTATTTATTGTTTTATTACTTATTTACATATTTATAATACTTGTTTTGAACTTGTTTTTTTTTACTGTCTCTTGTTTGCACTATCCACTGTGTATATATATACATATATATATATACATATATACATATATG